ACATCAGATATTATATATCAAATATTATATATCAAATATTAAATAACAAATATTAAATATCAAATATTATACATCAGATATTATATATCAAATATTAAATATCAAATATTATATATCAAATATTATATATCAGATATTATAGAACAAATATTATATATCAGATATTATAGAACAAATATTATATATCAGATATTATAGAACAAATATTATATATCAGATATTATAGAACAAATATTATATATCAGATATTATAGAACAAATATTATATATCAGATATTATAGAACAAATATTATATATCAGATATTATAGAACAAATATTATATATCAGATATTATAGAACAAATATTATATATCAGATATTATAGAACAAATATTATATATCAGATATTATAGAACAAATATTATATATCAGATATTATAGAACAAATATTATATATCAGATATTATAGAACAAATATTATATATCAGATATTATAGAACAAATATTATATATCAGATATTATAGAACAAATATTATATATCAGATATTATAGAACAAATATTATATATCAGATATTATAGAACAAATATTATATATCAGATATTATAGAACAAATATTATATATCAGATATTATAGAACAAATATTATATATCAGATATTATAGAACAAATATTATATATCAGATATTATAGAACAAATATTATATATCAGATATTATAGAACAAATATTATATATCAGATATTATAGAACAAATATTATATATCAGATATTATAGAACAAATATTATATATCAGATATTATAGAACAAATATTATATATCAGATATTATAGAACAAATATTATATATCAGATATTATAGAACAAATATTATATATTAGATATTATAGAACAAATATTATATATCAGATATTATATATCAAATATTGAATATCAAATATTAAATATCAGATATTAAATATCAAATATTAAGTACCAAATATTAAATACCAAATATTAAATATCAAATATTAAATATCAAATATTAAATATCAAATATTATACATCAAATATATTCCAGCCATACAAATAACAGCCAAATATCAAAAAATGCTCGATTTCCGTAAGGAACGAGCGAAAAAAGTTACGAGACGTGGCAAACATTTCGCGCGCACCGTTGTACACCGTATTTTTCCGAGGAAACAGAAAGAATCGTCGGGGCGCGTGAAAAATCATCGAATAATTGGACGGGTTCCCCGTCGTAGAAGGCGGCGCGGAACGATTCGATTATCGAGTCGCCGAAGGTTTCCAGTCACCCGCGGCTCGATTATGATTCGACAAAGAGCGCGCACGCTGCGCGACGGCATTGTCACGGCGTGTCAACAACCAGCTGTAACTTTCGAGCGGGGCAAAGAAGAAAAAAAAAAAGTTGCGCTCTGAAAAGACCGTGGCTCCTAACGATGATTTTTCCGCGGCGCTTTCTGTTCTCTTTCTACCCGAAACCGGCCGAACGTTTCTCCCTGTCCGTAATTCGACGACAAGCAGCGTGATCGACGAGTTACTATCGTTTCCCCCCCTCACAGTTTCGATTCTGTCTTCGCAGTTTCGTGTTTCGCCTGTTGAAACGTTCACCGACCAATCGGCGAATTCGATTGAAATTACACAGATTGTGAATCTGTGATCTTGGTTTTGTTTGCTGGTTCTTGCAGGATCATTGTAGATTTCGTGGCGCGAAAGAGATTTCGGCTTCTTTCAGCGAAAAGATATACATATATTAAATTTATTAATTAATATTTACTAAAAGATATTATTAATATTATAAATATTAAATATTATAAATATTAAATATTATAAATATTTATTAAAAGATATAAATTATTATTTATTAAAAGATATACATATATTTATTAATTTAGGTTTTAAACGCGTTAAAGAAAAATCATGCGATCCAGTGCTGTGAAGGTTAAATTGTCGTGTCCAGCAATTATTTAATCCTCCCTCGAAATGTCTAAAAAATCGCGCTCTATTTTATTCTGCGAACACTGTAAACCATCGCGCGACACATGTAAATCGCAAACTTGTACAAGCAGGAACGATTAATCATGCGAACTGCGTACGCAAACGTTTCGTTTCGCTCCAGAACGAAAGCCAGCAGTTTTAAGACAGCGAACGCGCGCGGTACAAGCGACGAAGATGCGATAATATTACGCAAGATTCGACGTCGATCGTCGCAGGAACGGGTCTCTGGAGAAAGGAGAAAGAAAGGAGGCCCGATTCTCCGAATCCCGAACTGTCATTATACGGCTCGACGACGGACGTATTAATTTCTCGCGACCGAATTATAGCCGTTCGTTCGGTTTCCGTAACGGCGGAGGTGGACGCGGGTTGAATATGGCAATCGGCTCTGGAAACGGGTCAGAAAAGGTTCTCGACTTCTCCCGAGAGGTTTTCCAGGGGCGACCCGGATCACGTAACAGTTTCGGAGCGGCGCAGCGCGCCGGAAATGGGGCCATTTGCCAGAAAATAAAATAACCCTGTTCGGACCGGGACGAGCTAATTGCCAGTTTCGACTGTTTCAAGAGCCCGACGGGCCACGGTCCCCTTCCGTTCGTTCTCGTTTCGCGTGAATTCTACGCTGTCCTAGCCGTCGTAAAACCGAGAACCTCTCTGTCGAACGTTTGCCAAGCTTGGACGTCTTCGAAACGTATTTTTTCACGAATTTTTACGAACTTTTATGAATTTTTACGAACTTTTATGAATTTTTACGAATTTTTACGAATTTTTACGAATTATTACGAATTATTACGAATTATTACGAATTTTTACGAATTTTTACGAATTATTACGAATTTTTACGAATTTTTACGAATTATTACGAATTTTTACGAATTTTTACGAATCTTTACGAATTGTTACGAATTTTTACGAATTATTACGAATTATTACAAATTATTAAGAATTATTACGAATTATTACAAATTATTAGGAATTATTACGAATTATCACGAATTTTTACGATTTATTTAATATTTAACAAGTGTAGAGAGTTTTAAGGGTTATGTCAAGCTTATGTCAAGGTTATTTTCGTACATAATGAGAAATAATGTGAAATTTCGACTTTTTTCGTACATGATGTGTTTTCACATAATATGAAATAAGGATTAATAATGTGAAATAATGATTGATAATGTTTAATATTGAGATTAATAATGTGAAATAATGATTAATAGCGTGAAATAATGATTAATTACGTGAAATAGTGATTAATAACGTTTAATATTGATTAATAATGTGAAATAATGATTAATAGCGTGAAATAATAATTAATAACGTGAAATAATGATTAGTAACGCGAAGAAATAATTAATAATATGAAATAGTGATTAATAACGTGAAATAATGTGCAATTTCGATCGACAGCATACGACATGATTATTAGAACACGAATACGAATTAGGTTTGGAATGAATATGGGAACGGTGTTACTGACGGCGCGTGACCGGTCGAGGGTTCAAAGATTTTCGAGGATCGATTTCCCCGTTGTCGTGAAATTGTGTTTCGCAATTTCATCTTTCCCCGAAGCTTGTACCGTCCAATCTGCGTAATCGTTCTCTGGAAATAAGAAACGCTTGCAACAGGGGGGGGGGCGTGGGGGGTCGTGGGGGGCCTCCGGGAACATGATTGAAACCTGAAGACGGGTTTGCGAGCCTTAATGGACCCCTCCCACGACGCGGACCGCGGTACAAGAGCTGCTCTTGCTCGCTCGAAATTACTCGCCGGAGATTCCGCTTGGCCTTCCCCCCTCGCCCCCTCGCACCCATCACGAAACATTCGGAGACTCGATTGAATCTCTCGAAATCGATTCGGCCGTACACTCTCTTCGACCGTACGTAGCGCATGAATGATCATTCGTCGCGCAGAATTTGCATTCTTGTTACAAATGCATCGAAATTGTAGACAGTCTCTGCGCTAAGAGGCTGGCATAAGTTTGATTATGCTATGAAAGCGGAGCACGTAGAATTTTGCGAACTGGAATCTCGACCGAATCGCGAAGCGAGGATTGCAATGAATAATAATGACGAATAGCAACGACGAAGGCTCTCCTTATAGGCTAAATGGCTCTGAAAAAATGTGGTATGAATTGTGCTATATACGTATTTCCATGAATTTGTTAATTTTCCTTAATTTTCCTTGTATTCCGCGAATCTGCACGCGCGCGCTGTAAACTTATGAGATAAATTTCCGCGAATCAAGAACTGTTAACCGAATACGGCTCTAACAATTTATGTACATTTTTCTTCGTTTCTTTCTCTCAGTCTCTCTCTCTCTCTCTCTCTCTCTCTCTCTTTCTTTCTTTCTTCATTTCTCATGTATTTCTTCTATTGCAATTTTTGCACAAATCAATTTGTACCATTGTTAACCCCTTGTCGCACCATTTTCTTCGTAGTTAGTAATAATTTCTAAGAAGAAATTACATAACTTATATTTATTGCGTGTCTACATTCACTTAAATGTTTAAACACTGATCAGAATAAAGTCAGAATTTTCTAGAAATTGACTAGAATTACTAGAAATCTCTGTCACGTGTCAAACTCATGAAATTATGGCAGCCTGAGTTCAATCACAATAAGTACCACGAATAAGACAACATTCAGTGATTTGAAGCAACTTTTTCCTTTACAAAAACTTTCTCCGAGCCATCGTTAACGAATTATTCGTGTAAAACACTGACCAATGAGGGGCGAATTCGCTCGGCGCTAGGCGACCGAGCGGAACTCTTGCTCCGCCCACTCGCTGGCTGGGCCGCCTCGCGCCAGCCAAGCTCGCCTCTCATTGGTCACTATGGTTTTTCGTCGATAACTCGTAAACGAAGCCTCGGATTGCAATTTCGCAAAGGAAAAAGTTACTTGAAATAACCTCAGGAACCTCTCATTTCCCGCAATCACCATAATTTCGGGACAGCCTGTGTATCAACAATCGTTCAACAGGAAATCTGTCGCGAGTACGTTGCTAAACCCCGACCCCATTGTTTCTGCTGCAGGTGCACCTTAGGGCGCAAATGATCCTGAACGGTGTCTGCGTGCTCTGGCGTGGCTGGATCGACCTGGAGAGGCTGGACGGAGTCGGTTGCCTGGAATTCGACGAGAAACGGGCCGCGGAGGAGGACGCGATCCTCCGGGACCAGGTCGAGCGTTACAGTCAACGGCAACGGGACCTCGACGAGAAGCAGCGAGCCTACAGGAGCGGGGCGCCCCACTTGAACCACCACCACCATCACCATCACCACCACCACGGCCACCATGGTCACCACGTGACCGCCGGGGCCGGCACCGGGGCCACCGGCGGCATCGAGCCGCACCTGACCCATCGGCAGGACCCGGAGATGGAAGTCAGACTGAGAGCTTACTGAGGTACCGAGAAGCCAGCTAGCAAGACCTCATGACTCTCCCCCGATCCCGCGTCGCAACCTTCCAGGCTTCCCGGAAGCCTCGAGGAGGGATCGAGCCGTTGGGTAGATCGCGCCAAGGATCATCGTTCGCCTTGGATCGGCGGCGAGAGGGTCAGACCGTTCGGTATGTGATCTCTCGGTGATTCGAAGTGATGAGATCGGGTTCGGGGCGGGTGGCCCCTGCTCCCGAAGGATCTGAAAGATCCTGGAAAGTTACCGGAGCGCGGTGAATTCTCTCTGATTCATCTGAATCACTCGTTTGGAAACGACAGTGGACAATTTGGGAGACGACGGTATCAAAATCCAGCCGCGAGGCTCGAAAGATCGCGTCTCTTGCTCCCGAATCGTCCATTTTTGCGCGCGGTCGGAGCGCGAATTACGGAGATATTGTACGTTAAATTCTCCCTAATCGGCGCGCGGCTTCGAAACGAAAGCGGACAATTTCGGAGGGGGAGGCGCGATTGTTCCAGCTTCGTTTTTATAGTTAGTGACAATCGGTGCGCTGTAAAAATCGAGTCGCAAGGCTCGAAAGATCGCGTCTCCTGCTCCCGAATCGTCCATTATTGCGCGCGGTCGGAGCGCGAATTACGGAGATATTGTACGTTAAATTCTCCCTAATCGGCGCGCGGCTTCGAAACGAAAGCGGACGATTTTTGAGGGGGATGCGCGATTGTTTCAGCTTCGTTTTTGTAGTTAGTGACCATCGGTGCGCTGTAAAAATCCAGTCGCAAGGCTCGAAAGATCGCGTCTTCTGCTCCCGAATCGTCCATTTTTGCGCGCGGTCGGAGCGCGAATTACGGAGATATTGTACGTTAAATTCTCCCTAATCGACGCGCGGCTTTGAAACGAAAGCGGACAATTTTGGAGGGGGAGGCGCGATTGTTCCAGCTTCGTTTTTATAGTTAGTGACAATCGGTGCGCTGTAAAAATCGAGTCGCAAGGCTCGAAAGATCGCGTCTCCTGCTCCCGAATCGTCCATTATTGCGCGCGGTCGGAGCGCGAATTACGGAGATATTGTACACTAAATTCTCCCTAATCGGCGCGCGGCTTCGAAACGAAAGCGGACAATTTCGGAGGGGGATGCGCGATTGTTCCAGCTTCGTTTTTGTAGTTAGTGACAATCGGTGCGCTGTAAAAATCCAGTCGCAAGGCTCGAAAGATCGCGTCTCCTGCTCCCGAATCGTCCATTTTTGCGCGCGGTCGGAGCGCGAATTACGGAGATATTGTACGTTAAATTCTCCCTAATCGGCGCGCGGCTTCGAAACGAAAGCGGACAATTTTGGAGGGGGAGGCGCGATTGTTCCAGCCCCGTTTTTATAGTTTGGGTGAGCATCGGTGCGCTATAAAAATCGAGTCGCAAGGCTATAATCGTATCCTCTATTCCCGAATTGTTCATTATTGTGCTGAAGTCGAATCAGGCAGCATTTACCGCGACTTTTTAGCGCGCGGTCTCCTTTCGGTTTCGCGGGACTCGTTTGCAATTTCGATCCGAGAACCGACATTCTCGGAGCAGGAGTTCCGGCACCGTGTTTCGCCGGTTTCCTCCGCTCGCGATCTTCGAGAGGATCGAGGATTCTGCCTCCGTACAGCGTCGTCGTCTGTCAGAGTCGGGATAATTTCCAAGGATATATCCAAGGATATTTCCGAGCTTATAGTTCCAAGACGACAACCGTCGCCGCGTACTCCGCGACAGTTCAACCCTTCTGCGCGTTCTCGTTCTCTCGTTGTCAGTCTCGTCGACCAGATTTCTATGAGATTTTTGCATCGCTTGAAACTGGATCGTATCGATCTGATTGATCAGAGAATAACAATAATAATAATAACAACGTCGGTATTATCGCCTGTACACAGGAAAAATTGAACTGTTTCGCTGTCGATCGCGGCGATTCGCTGTCGTTCTCGTTTCTAGAAGATGCAGCGAATTCTTCTTAATTTTCTCTTAGATCGCCCAGAAGAAAAATGAACCGTTCGAGAAGAGGCGATGCGATCGTTCGAGCTTCCGACACCTCGTTTTTATAATCGTTCGACAGCAGGCGACTATAAAAACGCGTCGCGAGACACCAACGATCGTTTCTCCTCTTCCCGAATCGTCGATTTTCGTTCGCGAGCTGATAGCAAATTCGGCAGAATTTACTGTACATGTGCTCGATCCTTGTTCGAACACGCGGGACGAGGGAGCGCAGGGTCTCGAAAACTTTGCCGCGGCTCCTGCGATTTTTACGTTTATCTATTTCGTTGTTCTTTTAGCGTTTCCATTTTTTTCCTGTTGACAAAGTGAATCGATATACGGTTAGATTGTAAGCTTTAATTAACGACATTAATCGCGACGGTACCTCGCGCGGCTGGGTCGCGCGCGAATCGTCGGGCCCGAGCCGGGCCCGAACGGAGGGGGGAGGGGAGACGGAATCGAGGAGGGCCGGGAACGAATCGCGCGCCCTTTCCCGCGCGATTATTATTAAACCGTCTAATTCGCCACGTGTTCAGCAACGAATTTACACGCGTACGCCTCTCTCGCGTTCACGATCGTCGCGTCTCCGTGTCCGATCTGCGATCTCTACATATCACGTCGGTACGTGCTAACCGGCCACGAGTCGACTCGTGTTTTTCTGCTCTGACGTAGTTCGAGAATGTTATGTTCTTTTTTTCCCTTTTGGCGTAACGGAATTTTAAACATCGAACGCTGCTTCGGTGGCCGAGAAACCGCGAGCTGTACGCATCGTGATCGCGTCCTCCATCGAATCGATCACGGGAATCTGCGCGCAGGATGCATCGCGCATTAGTTCTCGAGGTGACGATGATCGAGAATCCTTTTCGAGATCGCGGCGATCGCGCGTCGTTTTCGAAATCGCGGCGATTGAGCGTCCTTTTTGAGATCATAGCGATCGCGCGTCGTTTTCGAGATCGCGGCGATCGAGCGTCGTTTTCGAGATCGCGGCGATCGAGCGTCGTTTTCGAGATCTCGGCGATCGCGCGTCGTCTTCGAGATCGCGGCGATCACGCGTCGTTTTCGAGATCGCGGCGATCGAGCGTCGCTTTTGAGATCGCTGCGATTCAGCGTCACTTTCGAGATCGCGGCGATTGAGCGTCCTTTTTGAGATCACAGCGATCGCGCTTCGTTTTCGAGATCGCGGCGATTCAGCGTCGTTTTTGAGATCACAGCGATCGCGCGTCGTTTTCGAAATCGCGACGAATGAGCGTCCTCTTTAAGATCACAGCCATCGCGCGTCGTTTTCGAGATCGCGGCGATCGAGCGTCCTTTTTAAGATCGCAGCGATCGCGCGTCGTCTTCGAGATCGCGATGGATCGTTCGCCGCGTTCGCAGTTATTTCGCCCGCGCGGTCCATCCTACGCGCAGAACAATAGGATCATCGATTACGAGTAAGTCGGTTACAAGGAAACAAGTTCGCCCCGTGTATCCGCGAATACTCGCGCGATCGCGTTCGCTCGTTCCATCCTGTGTACAGAAAATCGCGCGGGCTGTCCGGCGCTTGTCGAATCCACCGAGTTTTATGATTGACGAAACGAGCATATTTCTCTGTTCGCTAGACAATAGAGGCGGGCGGGCACCCGAGATCTCGGGTCAAAATCGGGCCGGGACCCGCAACTGTTTGGTGCGCGAATTTTCTGCGACCGCGTCCCGAGAATTTTCGGAGACGCGCGAGCGCCTAAAGGCGGATTGGGAAATCTACGAAGATCCAGAAATATATTGTATATTATATTATATTATATATTATATCATATATTGTATTATATATATACAGTGTGTCCCAAAATTATGGTTCTTCCGGGAGATTAGAGATTCCCGAGGTCATTCGAAGGAACTTTCTCCTTTAGAAAAATTGTCCCCGAGGCACCGTTAACGAATTATTAACGAAAAAACACACCGGCCAATGAGAGACACGAAGCGCGCGAAGCTCGGTTCTGCTCGTTGGCTCGGCCGCCTAGCGCCGAGCGAGCTCGCCTATCATTGGTCAGTGTTTTTCGTTAATAATTCGTTAACGGTGCCTCGGTGAAAATTGTTGCAAAGGAAAAAGTTGCTTGAAATCACCAGGAGAATCCATCATTTCCAGGAAATACCATAATTTTGGGACACCCTGTTATCTTATATTATATCATACATATATATGTCGCATTTGTCGTGTATATTCGAGGCGAATGACACGCGATTCAGAAACGGTCTGAACATGCCTGCCCGATCCAATTTTAGGAGATGCGATTTTATCGATTTCGAGCACCCGGGAGTTTCGGGTCGCGGCCCGACCCGACCCGAGGCTCGGGCGCCCGACATCTCGGATGCCCGCGCGCCCCTAGTAGACTATAAACCGACCCGAGGCTCGAGCGCCCGAAATTTCGGGTCACGACCGACCCGACCCGCGGCCCGAGCGCCCGAAATTTCGGACGCCCGCGCGCCCCTAGTAGACTATAAACGACAAATGATCGCACGCGAGCCGACGAGAGCGCGCGAAAGAGAGTGCGCGACCGCATCGACATACACACGTTTTGCGTTGCATTGTACATATTTGTAAAGACGATTTTTAGGTTAATTTATTAAGGCGTCGGCCGTCGCGCTGCGTCCCCGCGGACCGGCGCGATTCCTGTGAATCATCGTCGCCCGTCGCCGGGGGGAAAAACCCAGAACGACGAACTCGCGCGCGGAGAAACGACGCGACGCCTCCGATTGTATAAAGCTGTTCACATTAAATGCAACTTACATGGTAAAGAAAAGTGTACTGCTTTTGATCTTGTTCCCACGATCCTGTTTTTTCTGCTTTCTTTCTTTTTCTTTTTCTTTTCAGGCGAGAGTCCTCGCGGAGTAAGTATGGACTTACTATAATACTATAAACTTATTACTATATATATATAATACTATAAACTTATTACTATATCTATAATACTATAAACTTATTACTATATCTATAATACACTATAAACTTATTACTATATCTATATAATACTATAAACTTATTACTATATCTATAATACTATAAACTTATTATTATATCTATAGTACTATAAACTTATTACTATATCTATAATACTATAAACTTATTACTATATCTATAATACCTGTCTCTTATACACATCTAGATGTGTATAAGAGACAGGTATTATAGATATAGTAATAAGTTTATAGTACTATAGATATAATAATAAGTTTATAGTACTATAGATATAATAATAAGTTTATAGTACTATAGATATAATAATAAGTTTATAGTACTATAGATATAATAATAAGTTTATAGTATTATAGCTGTCTCTTATACACATCTAGATGTGTATAAGAGACAGCTATAATACTATAAACTTATTACTATATCTATAATACTATAAACTTATTTTACT